AAGGTAGACCGTATTTTGAAGTCAGTGCTGTTCAAAGTGTGGCTATAAGACTGCCATCTGTCTGCAAACTTTGTGTTACCTGAAATTAATTGTAAGGGTTCAGAAATTTGTGGCAATTGACAGAGCATTTTTACAATGGTTGAATCTAACACTAAAAGTTGAGGGTCCATGTGTTCTTCATTTCATTTTTCTAGTAATTCCTTCTATTCATTTTTATTATATTTGACGAAAGTATTGGTTTAGATGGATTGGAAATTCTAAAGGCTGGTCCTTCAGAGGAACATGGTGGGGAGGGTATAGCTCAGTGGTAGAGTGCATGCCCAGCATGCATAAGATCCTAGCTTCAATCCTCAGTACCTCTCTTAAAAAAATAAATTAATCAATAAACCTCCCCGCCAAAATTTTAAAAAAGTAGAAAATAATTAAAAAACAGGGAGGATGGGTAGGGTATAACTCAAGTGGTAGAGGGCATGTTAGCATGCATGAGGTCCTGGGTTCAGTCCCTAGTATCTGCTCTAAAAATAAATAAATAAACCTAATTACCTTCAGAGGAGCATAGCTATAGTGTGGAGAGCTGGGCTGCAGCTCATGTAGACTTGCTGTTTGACCTTTGGCAAATGACATAATCACTTGGTTCACATTTAATAAATTGAAACTAGCAGGCCTGACACTTAGTTTTGCAAGGCCAAGTCAGGGATGCAAAAAATGTCAAAATCTTTATTTTCTTTAATAGCAAGAAAGTGGGAAATTCAATCTCAGTTTCAGTTATTATTGCCCACTCCACCTCCCCCCACTCCTATCCTCATAGGGGCTCAGGAAAAAAAAGGCACAGTACTGCCAACAGCTGCACTGCCTAAGCCCACGGGGGAGGGTTGGTAGGGGGAGAGAGTCCTTGCTGAGGTCAGGGCTCCTGGTGCCCAGCCCTCCTGTGATCCACACCTCCATTCCTTGCTACCTTGTTAGCTTGAGCAGTCCAGCCTGGGTCTCAGACATCTGTCGCCCTCTGAGGTTTACCCCTCTGAGTTATGGTCAGAGGATAGCATAGAGACAGTTCCATGTCTTCAGGAGCTCAGGCAATTAAAAACCAAGGCTAGGAAGGAAAGTATTTTCAGGCTACTTTTGATTCAGCCCCATTACAGATTTCTGTGGCAAGGACGCACAAAACGACCCAGGGAAACTTTGGGGCAAGGGAGTATGGGGGAGGGACAGCAGAAGAAAAAAGACAAAAACTAGCATCAATGACTTTACAACTGTAAAATAGGGCCAATGTAGCCTTCCTTACAGGTTGTTTGAGGATTGAATGGGCTAATGCATTGAGAATTCATGGCTGAGTGCCCAGCACGCAGTAGGTCCACAGCACCATGATTTCTGGATCAGGAAGTCCCTGGGTCTCCCTTGTTTTCGCCTGTTGGCTCGTATGTGATGCATACACAATATGTGTTTGGATAATTTCATCCAGCTGTGGTTGTTCTTCTCCTCTGATGTGGATGGTTCTAAGCCAAGAGTCCTTCGTCTAGTGTCCGTGGAACCCAGGCTCCGCTTCCAGAATGGGCTTCAGAGGGTCTCTGTTAGTTTGGAAATTTTATATTTTATTTCTCTTCTTTTGCTGCTTACTCTGAATTTTTTAGCAAACAATTTTTTTTTTCTAGCAAAAATCTCATCAGATACACCCATCTGCCCTTCTTAGCAGAGTCTAATTCAGTAGATGTGGGTGGGGCTTGAGACCGCATTTCTAACAAGCTCCCCGGCATATCTGGTGCTGCTGGCTGGATAATCTGGCTTAAACCAGCAAGGCTAAGGAGGCCTTCTGACTTTCTGGATTTGCCTTCCATTACCTGCTAACTACACTGAACTTGCTTTTTCTTTTTGCAAGGAATCTAGTTATCAGAAGCAGCCACCCTACTCTGGAATCCTTATAATTATAAATGTTGCCATGCCACAGCTATTTGATCTCTCAGTCTTGACTTCTCTACGCACATCATCCTGGTTAACGATGGATTTGAAAGCGTAAATAATTGCATAATAGTGGTTAATCCCAGCTGTTTATACCCAGCCATGGAGTCCCTATTTCTTACAGAGAGGTGGGCAATCTAATTTCAAAATTCCATCTTGCAGTTCTGCTTTTTAGTACTACTTCCAGTACCAATTAATTTTGCAAGAAAATAGAGGCAAGAATTAAAGTGATAGTGATTGATTTGGCCAACTTAGGGAAGGAAGGATGAGGAAAAAGGGAATTGAGTCAAGGAAATACGTGAATACAAAGTGGTGCATCCTGTACTGGTGCATCCAGTCAGCACACAGCACTTTTCTGGAGGTTGGCAAAAAAGAAATTCAGAGTTGACCTAGGGAGAGAGGCAGGAGTGAAATTCTCTGCCCAGCTTCTTCCCTTCCCCCATTTCCCATTGGTCAGGATGCCAGATCTCATATCCTATTGTTCCTTCCAAGCTCCAAGTGGCAGAAACTATGGGCTTATGGTTGGTCAGTCTGGCTATATGGAGGCATCCAGAAAAAAGGGGTTGGGATTCCTAGGGCAAGTGACTGGTCAGCCCTGCAGATTTGTCATCTCTCTGTACTTTGGACAAGGCAACATTTTTATACCAAGGACAAGAGAGGAAATTACATATGTTGTAACTTATGTAGCGTATCGTCTACAGGATAGCCTACAGCAACTGACTTTTCCTTTTGTGCCCACATGATTAAAGAATAATGCTTTTAAGTCTTCATCCTTCTGATTTGCCCCAATATTGAGTCATCTGGAATAAAAGATACTCATTAATCAGTGGAGACCTGTCTCTCTCTATGCATGGCAGCACTGCTAACTGATCCCTACACATCTGTTGGCTGTGGACACTTCTTCCCCACTCCTGAAGTTTCCTTGTGTGCAAAGGTAGCTGCATGAGTACAACATTCCTGCCCTCACCCTGCTTCCTTCCTCCCGCTGCCCTGGGGATGGAGAAATGGCTTAATCTGATTTATGAGTCTAGAATGAGAAACCAAGCCATTCTTTGGCCTTTTTCCTTGGCGTCAGGATTCTGTTCTGCAAGGGAGCACTCCCTTCTTTGTTCTTCCCTGTCATTAGTCTTACAGAGATACCCCTTCCCTACCTCACCCAATTCCTTATTTCTCAATTGGATGAGGATCCAGGAGGAGAAAAAGGGTGCTATTTCTTGGGCTTCTTCAAAGTCCTAGCACCTCTGAGCCTGCCCCTCGCTACACAATACTCAAAGCAGTACTCCTGAAGGCTATACCTGGTAGATCATCAGGTGAGATAAAACCTGCTGACATCTGACACCTGCAGCCACGATGTCTCTTTGGCTGATGCTGCAACTGGGAGCTATGTAGTAAGTGGTTAGAGAACATGGGCTTTGGGAGTTGTCAGGCTTGGGTGTGAGTTCTCCCTTACTCCTTAGGAGATGTGTGACCTTGGCAAAGAATTAACAAGAAGAATGGCTTTGGAAAAAAATTAAATACAGTGTACAGCATGTTAGTTCCAGAAAATGATGTACCTATCTTGTGAGACCTCAGTTTTCCTATTTGTAAAATGAGAATAATAATATCTATTTCATGATGTGGTTTGTAGGTACTAAATGAGATAATATGGGCAGAGTTTTCAGCACTTAGAAAGTACATAATAATGACAGAGGAAAAAAAATTGTGTTTTAGAAATACAAATCATGGAGTTGTATCTTTAAATCTGGAATATTAAAATATGCTCTAATAATGAAAAAAAAAGAAAGAAAGTACATAATAATGATAGTTACTTTTACCATGATCTATAGGCTTTGGAAGGAGATTAATAATAAGCCTGGTTCTTCTGGAGGGGGCCCTAGCCATTTTCAGATATAATTTCATTGCACTGATGGATAATTCTAACATTTCCTGTTTAAGGAACCTCTGAGGCTACCTCTAATTCTTACTTTATGAGTGTGGAAATGCTTGTCTCTCAAGTTTCCCTCAACATCGATTTCTTTTTCAGAGTTGATGCAGAGGAGTGGATGGTAAGGTGTGTTTTCCTTCAAACCTAGAATCTTGCCACTTCCCTCTCATTTGAATGATGTGGTTTACACATCAGTGCTGCGGATGCCCTCTATTCATAAACCCCGTCATGCATAAAGCCAAACTTGAATATGGAGGCTTTGGACAGAGTATATGTGAAGCCTCAGAAAAAGAAATAAAAATCGCACTTCATTTACAAGAAGAATGGCTCTGGAAAAAAATATGTACAGTATACAGCATGTTAGTACATTTCCAGAAAATGATGGCAAATTAGTCAAATCAAGCTGCAGATGTAGTCAGGAAATTCTCACATGAGTTTTCCATACAAGATTTTGGTGGATAAAATCAAATGACTTATACCCAATGTTTCAAAAGTGCAGTGATGCCAGCTCATCCTCAAGTCACCTTGGAACTCACTTGAAATTGAAAGCTTCCACAATGCAGTTCATGGCTTTGCTGTTGAATTATGAAGTGCTTGTATCTGTGCTGTAAGGTGTTGGGATTCAGGTATAGAATCAAATTCCAGGGAAGTACCACCATAGTTCCATAGAAATACCACCATAGTCACCATCTCAGAACACCAGCGGCCTTCCTCTTTGTTCAGTGAAAGTTTCTTTCCCTCCCGGTAGACATACTTTGCTTCTTTTATAGTTTCTGGTGCTCTGGTATTAAACGGAATTCCTACTGAAGTACCATTATAGTATTGATATCACATATGCTAGAGATTTTGTCCTTTTTGACTTTAAAAAAGATGAATTTAAAGACAACACCATTGCTGCTGTCACTAAGTGATCATTGGTATGTCTTTGAGGGCAATAACTCATTCTCAGCATTTTCACCAAAAGAGATACATTTACGGTTATTCTTTTTTGATCTACTCCTGAAGATTGTTGTCACATCATTTATAATCTTTATGATTGGTACGTTCTTAAGCTGTGGTTGCTGTACGGAGAGGCAGACTTTTCTACACAATGCTTAAAATATTGTTCATATTTTTCAACTAGGTGGCTGTGCTACAATCCCAGAATCGGACCTGGAAGAAAGATCAATAGAACAAGACTCCACTGAACTGTTTACCAACCACAAACACCTCATTGTGGAGACACCCAGGGCTGGTAAGTGAATGGGTGGCCTTCACACAGGATATGTCAAGGACAGTGACACAGGTCAGTTTTTGTCATACCAGAAAGCATTTTGCAAAACCGCTTGTTTTCCAACTTCTTCCTTCCCCTCTGCATTGATACAGCTGATGTGATCATTTGTGTATTCCTTCCAATATTCAGACCTTTTCTCTCTCTTGCTTTCTTTCATTTTCCAGAAGTTTCACCCCTCCAAGGCGTCTCAGAATAGTTCAAGTAGAGTTGTCTGGTGGAGGGGAAGATGGCCTTCCCAAGCCTGATCCTGTGTGGACCTCATGCCAAGCACAGATGAAGGGCTGGCCCAGGTGCTTCATCCAGCTTACCTGCCAGGAGCTGACACTAGGTAGAGATGGGGGTCGGGACTCTTTGTTTGCTAGGAGGACCTGTAATACCATTTGCAAGTTGGTCATCTGTATGCCTTCAGCCACAGGATATAGTGATATGACATCTTCTGGGGACAGACTTTATAATATGAAGACCTAGATCCTATTTGATACCCCATTTTTTCACAGAATTCTTATATAGTAAATGTATCAAGTTTAATAAAGCATCTCATTGTCAAACAATATCTTGGATTTGATTTATAATCAGAGGGTTATATAGTTGATTTCTCTGTTTATTCAAAGGGAAGGAATTGAACGGAATTAAAAATTTGCTACTCCATGGTAAGATTCAAATGTGATTGTTTTATAAATTAAAGAAACTACTATTAGAGTGGAAAAAGGTGAGTTTTCTAGTATTGTATGAAAATGTAAAAATATTTTCAAGGAAGCTAGGATTTTAACATTCTCTTTTCATTACCCCAATGGGTGATGCCTTTTAAAAATCCAGATTATAAAAGGATTCACACTATATTATAATTAAAATGTAAGATTTTTATATGCAAGAAATAAAAGAGATTTTGCCAGTTTCAAAACTGATTTATTTAAACAAAAATATGCCTCAGTCAGTACAAGGAGAAAATGGCTTGTGGTTTTTCTATATGTGAAATGTCAAAAAGGCTATAGAGGATGTATTATTTATTATTTGTAGCATTCTTTTTTAGGAGATGCAGCAGAAGATGTAATAGTTTTCATTGTCAAGTGTGGAAGTGGACAGCTTCTAGCCTTTGGGCCAGAATCAACCATTAGGTTAATGTCACCCAGCCTGTGGGGACCAGTAAAAGATGTCATGGCTCTGTGTGTGCCTAAAGATGCAAAACTACAACACTTCTGATCATCTTTAACAGCTTCATTGAAGAAAGGTTAGAAGAGAAGTGTATTACTTCTTTAAAAAGTGTTTCTGAGTTGTGTCTTTTTTTTGTTGTTATTTGATTCCCATGGATGTTTTTCCTACTGTGCATATGTCCAAGTGCTCATCTCTGTTCTTTCTTTCTGTCTTTTTTGAGTCATGTCCTGTTTGTAGCATCCTAACTGCCTTTCTTTAACTCAGTTTCTTTTTCTCACTTGTTATTTCCATGTTTATCAGCCTTGATCAGTCTTTCTCTCCCTTCCTCTATTTCCCCCAATTCTTTCCCTTCTCTTTTTGGTTCTCTTTATTGCCCATGATATAAAACTGAAGCATATTGTTTGATTTGTAAAGGTTACTTTATTTTTTATTTTTATTTTTGGGTTAACAAAGTTTATTCTAGGAAGAGCAACTCACTGAGAGATAAAACCGTTTTAAAATTTACGTATATGTACTGTTCATTGTTTCTAAGAACAGATTAGAGGTTTAGTTTCTAAAACTTACATAGTTGTCAAAGGAATAAAGCCAATAACAAAATAAGAATCAATAGAATGCAGTAATCCAATCATTAAAGACAGTCAAATGTGCTTATACATATTCAAGAAATCAACCATCTAAGTTATAAATAAATAGTTAATTTGTGTCCTTTTTTAAAAATTCCACATATAAGTAATATCATATGGTATTTTCTTGTAAAAGTTACTTTAAATGTGCATAAGTACAGTCATTTCTATCTTTTTCGGATCTCTCCTCCATTGTTTTCCTTTTATTTTTGTCCTCCAAGGTTGCTCTGTTCTATAAGGGAATGACTACCAACATAAACTCAAAGGACTTCCTATCTCTGATTTGATAGTGTAAGGTGACTTTTGTTGCTACAATTACATGTTATACTGAGAGTTTCTATATTAAGAAGTATATTTTTAAGATATTTTCCTGGAAATCATTATCAGTATCTTAAGCCTATTAGCAAAATTACTTGACCAAATAATTTTTTTTATTTAAATCACTTTAATACAGAATTCTATATATATACATTATAGACATAAATATTTTAAAATATATCTAATTTATTACCATTTGCATTTTACTGGCTGCCAAAAGGAAAAAGTTACCAATTAAACTTTAAAAAATTGAAGTATAGTTAATTTACAATATTGTGTTAGTTTCAGGTGTATAGTGTAGTGATTCAGGTTTTTTGCAGATTAATTCCATTATAGGTTGTTACAAGATATTGGGTAATAATTCCCTGTGCTATACAGTAAATCCTCATTGCTTATCTACTTCATGTGTAGTGGTTTGTGTCTGATAATCCCATATTGCTGTCTGCTCCTGTCCCCTTCGGTAACCATAAGTTTGGTTTCTATGTCTGTGAATCTGTTTCTGTTTTGTGTATAGATTCATTTGTATTATTTTTTAGATTCCACATATAAATGGTATCATATGGTATTTGTCTTTCTCTGTCTGACTTATTTCACTAAGTGTTTTATTCTTTAGGTCCATCCCTAATTGACCTTTTAAACATTATCAAATTTAAAATACAAATTTCAAAATGATAAAATAATTTGATTAATGACTTAAAACTACCTTTCATTTAAGGATTTCCTGAATTTAAGTTATATAATATTGTTTACCCCTGATTTTAGCCTTATGATTTAAAAACACACATAAAGTGTTTCTACTAGCAGAAAAATAATGGAGCCAAGATATTATGTTATCTTTTAGAGTGGCTTTTTAGAAATCAAGACCCAACTAATTCTGAACTGTTCCCGTTATTTTGATGCCAGTATTTCAGTCTTTAATAACAATTGTCCATTATCTCTTACTTATGTATGATGTGTATGTGTGCATGTGTGTGTATGTGTGTACATAATCTTGGCGTAACTCACAAAGTTGGAAGGAGAAAGATGATCCAGGTTTCTGATTAGCCTGATAATTTCATTATTACCCAATATATCAGGATAGGTACTAAAAAAATAGCAAACATTTATTAAGTACATACCATGTGCTAGATTCTTTATATGTATGATTTCATTCACTCCTCACAATATTACTGATTTTACAAATAAGAATACTGAGGTTTATAGAAGCTAAATAATTTATCCAGTGTCCCACAGTTAGTGTGTAGCAAAACTGGTACTTTAATCCAGGCTGATTCCAAACAGCAAAAGGCACACCCAAATGTATAGATTATTGGTGAGACATGCATTCTACAACTGAAGGCTTTTAGTCCAAGACAGCTACATTTCTTTGATTTCTAGTATGGTAGCACAATTCAAAAATATACTTATTTGCCATTTATATTTCTCCCTTGGTGAAATCTCTGTTCCTGTTCTTGTTTTCCTTTATTGGTGGTGGTGATAATTATTTCTTTATTGATTTATAATAGCCTTTTCTATTGAAATGATGTTAATCTTTGGTTGATTGAGTATGATGTAAACATTGTTCTCAATTTTTCACTTTCTTTTAATTTTGTTTCTGGGGTTTTTTAAATAGAAATTTTCTAAGTTGTAAGAAGCCAAACCTATTAACCCATTTCTTTGTAGTTTCTGTCATTGGTGTCCAGCCTGGGTGATCTGTCTGATGCCCTCTCTTGCCTCTTCTCTGTGCCTCTTCTCAGTCTGAGGTTGTGCTCAGGCTGTTGTATTCTGTGCTATGGTAAGCTTTCATCATACCCTCCTCGCTGGTGCACTGAGTGATGTGAGCCACAGAGCTGTGTTCTCTTCTGCTTTCATGTTTCACTGAACTTCAGATGACATGCCTCCTAGGTTCTTCCTTCACCCTGTGGAGAATGACCTAAGTGATAGACACCCTATAGCTTTCAAAATCCCACTGCCCTCTGATCCTTGCCCCTCTTCACCATGAGCTCTCCTTTAGGATGATTGGTATTCCGAAAGGTTCCCTAGTACTCTGTAAATAGGCTTGCCCACTCCCACAACAGACATGGCCAGACATGTCTCCATCCCACGTGAACACAGGTTGGGCTCAGGTTGGACACGCGGGACCCACTTACATATATACATACAGAGGCAAGAGGGGTGAGGCAGTGAAGTTTGTACTTCAGTCCCCCAGTTCTCTAAGCTTTTTGGTTCCCCAGCCTCTCAAGGGAATGTCTTGGTATTTCCACAGGTGAAGCATACTGGGAGCCACAGGGGTTCCCTCAAATTGAGGAACATCAGATTGTATTTGAATGGCTTTGCTATGATTCCATTAATTAAAAAAATTTTTTCTGGACTAAAAGTGGCTAAGCCAAAAGACCTCTGTGCTTTACAAAAAATATCTACCTCTGACTAGTTGCTAGTCTGAGTCACAATGTACACAATTCCCTATCACATAAAAATACAGGTAAAGATGCATGAAAGAATAATGATAAAATACATGTGAGGAATGTTTAACCCCCTAAACAGCATTATATAAACACAGGATTGTCAGTGGTCATCTGGCACAGCACCAGGGTCCTCTTTGTGTGCCAACAGGTATCATCCCTGGCCTTCTGTTTAGAGATTTAGGGTGTTTCCACAATTGTCAGGGAGCCCACGAGGGGAGGGCTGATGGGAGAGAGATCTGAACTGGTGGTTTTCAACCTTGGTTGCACATTAAGATCTTTCGTTTTCTTCCTTTTGCTGATCTGCAATTTTAGAGTGTTTTTTAATGAATTTGTACTGCTCTTATAATAAGAGAACAGATTTCACCTTAGAATGTATCACTTTTAGTGATATAAATAATAATTAGTAATATACTCTTGCTGCTTAGCACTTGGCATATTAACAACATGAGTTTTAGAGAATAATCTCTTTGGGCAGTGAGTACTAATAGTTCTGAAAGGTCCAGTGTATAACATATTTTCATCAAAGTAACGTAATTTATAGCAGTAATAGGAACATAAAATTGTATTGAAAATTACGGTTTCTTTTGTATCCTCAACACCTTCTGATGGCAAGAAGTAAATGTGTCAATTAAATATGAAAACAGTATTAAGAGGGTTCTGAAAGAGCAACACAAGACTGTATGGATTGTATTAGATGCTGTCCTTTTCAAAGCCTTTCTGTGTATGCAGCATTGAATTAGCTGGTATTATTGTTCTATTTTGTAGCTAAGTTATGGAAGCTATGTGGATATCATGTGTGTTGATTTGGGCTTTAAAAGGTGTAACTTAAAGTACAGCACAACTCCAAGGCCTAATTAGAAGTGAGATGCCTGTTAGAGTGATCACATCCCCCAGTGCTTAATTTCTGGGCCAGAGAGAGGGTCTCTGTTCTTGCTGACGTGGGAAAAGAAGTAGCAAACCCCCTAATTCTCAGGTTTTCCATCATTTCATTTTAATTATATCCAACCTAGACCC